GATTGGTTGACGCGGCGCGTCAAGCAGCAAAAGTAAAATTTTTCCATCTCGAGCAGCAGCGCGTCACGCGCGTCAGATGCTTAAACGCGCCTGCTCAAAACGCACTGCAGGACCTTTTGCTGCGCCTTGACGCGTGTCAACCATTGACTTTGCATGTAAACTCCTGCTGCGTCCGGTGTGAACGCAGCATTAGACAAAGGGATTTTTTTACGCTTGGTAGAGGATGATCAGTCACATAGTTTATTAGGAAGGGAGAGCAGGAACAGCCATGCTGCTGAGAGTGAACCATCAGAGTGGAGCGTGAAGAGCAGACTCTGAGCTAAGTGTGCGCAAATACGCACTTCTGCACAAGCACAGCTGGAAGAGCAGAGTTTTTCGGAGTTGAGCGTGCAGTACTGGACCATTCCGGGTTGTTTTCTCCCCTGCTGCTGCTGCCATAATCCATCTTTGGTCATGCACAGCAGCAGCATGGCTGATACTGCTTAGCTTGTGTAACAGATTAGACAATGATGCATTTTAAACATTTTTATTTGGTCTCATTGACGAAAACTCAAACCCATGACTAGTCATGTTTTCATCATCAAAGATCCACGTTTATTTTGTCAGTTTTCATTGCCGCTCAGAGTGCCAAATGTCTAGCCTGGGTGCCAGTCCGAACTTAGTCCCGCCCACAAGGTTTGAGTTCGGGGAAGTTCGGTCTGGCTCTGCTCCATAGTAGCGCGAGTATTAAAGCCCACTGTCAGGCGATCCAATCAAATTGTCAGGGCGGGCTTTATACGATGATGGACAGATGATCAAGAGTAACGTTATCAACCACGTGACCAAAGCGCGCTTGGGTGACAACAATAATGGCTGCCGCTGGAGAGTTGAGGTGTGTAGATTCTGCTATTAGGTCTGTTCTAGAAGATATCGACAGCAAATTAATTTTAAAAGAGGAACAGAGAAACCAGATCAAGTCTCATCTTCTTATTCTAGGCGTGAAACTGCACGCTTTGATTTTTGTGGACAACAACTATGCCTGGCTTAACATACGTCACGCACTCCGTTGCTCTTATTGGTTGTAGGTCTATCCAATTGAGTGCAGAGGCATTTTTTTTTCCTGGTTCGTTCAAAACACGCCCCATAATCACAGCTCTATGGAGCAGTATCAGACTCATATTCTGACTAGAATTGAGTCGGACTACGTCAGGCTACCAAATGCCAGGAACATACACAGGTATACAATACCTGACACTGGCCTTGTTTCATCATAGACCCTGGATTAAAAAGTCATATTCCTGCTCGAACCCATTTGTTTTATTTATCAATTTCCCATATAAGTTGTTTGATATACATATATATATATATATATATATATATACATATATATATATATATATATATATATATATATATATATATATATATATATATATATATATATATATATATATATATATATATATATATATATATATATATATATTGGGCTGATGTGCCCAACTTTTTTAGTTTTAGTGAGGATGCTGGCAGTAGCATGCTGCATCAGCTGCACATGTAGTGATGGTTGATTGTGTACTGTTGTGTAAACAATATCTAAGTGGTCAATACATTTAAAAAAGAAAGAAAAATTTTTTTCTGTAAACACCCGAGTGTAAAATGTACAGAAAACAAGCTTAGACTATCCATGAATAAAATAATAAAAAAAATGAAATTATCATGACAGCTCTAGTTACTTTGATGGACCTGGAACAGGACCCTAGAGAAGCAATCTAATAACCTTTGCAATGACAGTCTGTAGGGTTTAGAGCAGGGGTCACCAACGCGGTGCCCGCGGGCACCAAGGGGCCCTCAAGGACCACATGGGGGGGCCCTCTTCATCTTCTGAAAACAGAAGAACTCACTCAGTGGGTTAAGTTTAATTTTTTTTAATTCTGTTGCTCTTCTTTTTAATCATTTATGTATTATTTCATCATGTTAACTTTTTCATCATATTTCAGTGGTTTCAAAATTAAAAAGAAAATTAGAAATGAATAAAAGAATAAAATAAGTATAAAAATGAGTTTTTATGGATGAGATTTACTGTAGGTGAACACTGATCCCTCCAGTTCATAGGTCAGCATTGGTAGCCCTTCCTATGACTCGGTAGCCATGAAGTAGCCAACAGCCTTAAAAAGGTTGGTGACCCCTGGTTTAGAGTCTCTGTGAATTTGTGCTTATATTTCTGTATTGTGTAATATTTGTTACTGATTTACAATTCTGTTCCCTTCAGTGTCTTAGCTCCCTGCTCTTCCTCATCCGTCTCCTCTCCTCATTAACTCACCTCACTCAGTCATATCCTCTCTTTTTGTCATCAGCCTGTTTTCTTCTTCCCCTTTGTCCTGTTTATCATTTTATCCTTTGGGACCGATAGAAGCCAAGATAAGACAAGAAAAAAAGTAAAATGTTGACCCTAATGTAGCTAAAAAAAGTAATTCCTCAAGGAAATTACAAATGAGACAGATAAAACATTTCTTTTTCTTAGGGAGAAATAGCTACAGATTAAATTTGGGAGGAAAGAAAAATCTAGTTCCTGTAATTTAATGTTTTAATCATCAATATGTAGAGAAACGGTTCATTACTGGCACAGAAATTCTTGGACTTTTTAGATACTTTGAATTACAAAACTAAGAACTCAATGATTTCCAACAGCTTCTTGACAAATAGAAAGTTAAAACATGTGATGTGCTTTTGAAATATCCTCCTCTCCTTTGATACATCTTAATAGTATCTCATGTTCAAAACTATCCACAGAGGTTTAACTGGTAAATAGTGTGTATTTGTATGTAATCTCAGGAAAAAAATAAACTAAATCCATCTCAATCATGAAACATGGTAATGGCATGATCATGCTATGGGGATCATCTTTACCACTGACCTGGAAGCTAATCAGAACAATCAGGGAAGAAAACCTGTTTGAGTCTCCAGTGTGACACATATCGGATGTGGCGGTTAGTACTGATAAACTTTAAAGGAAAAACATGACTTATAAGAGATGCACACCAGTTAAAATTCTTTTAAAAAGGAAAAAAACAAACGTTTTATCTTTTCAAACCACATTTTCTGCTTTCAGTTTAACCTGAATGTTAATAAGACCCAAAATTGGCAATTTTTACCCAATAATTAGATTTTTTCCTTAACTTCTTAAAGTAGGCTAGAAAAATAAATACTTTAAAAAAAGAAAGAATAACCCCTATCCTACTGCTGATATTATACTTAAAAGTAATCTTGATGAAGAAAAAACAACTTTCAGATGAATTATTTGTCTTTTATTTTAAACAGGCCTCCTTTGAAAGATATTTTTTAAGGTTTCGAGCCCCGTTTTTTTAAAAAGAAATTTAAGTACTTTTTTTTTTTTTATTAAAATATTGCATATTGACTGCGTACTTTGACAGGTTAAAAATAAAAAAATATATAAGAAGAGTATATTTTTATAAATATATTTCCAATACTGCAATAATTCCCTTTTAGGGCACGTTTGACCCCTGTAAGAAAGTTTGGGCTCCTCTGATGTAGAGAATTTAAATGAATTAACTCCTGACTGGATAGAGGTTTACAGTCAGACAACACAAAGCCAGAAGTACCATAGTTTAGTTCAGAAAATAATTATAGCTTAGAATGGTCTAGTCAAAGACCAGATTTATGAGAAGATCTAAGAAGAAAACTGCTCTGTTCATCAAATCCGACTGAATTTTCCTCTTACACTTGAAAAAAATCTAAATCTAGATAAGTCATTTTTTCTTAAAATAAATGCATTTGTTCTTGATTTGAGGAGGTAAAAGAGACTCTTTGCCAATAGAACAAGACGATTTACATTTAAAATAAGAAAACACAATAGCATTGTCTTATTTCAAGTGCATTTTATCTAAATATCTTATTTTAAGAATAAAAATGCTCCTTCCATTGGCAGATCATCTCATTAACCTACTCAGTTGAATGGTAAATACACTTAATTTAAGACATTTTTGCTCATTTCTAGATTGTTTTTGCAGTGCAACCTTTAAGTGATTGATCATATATAATTACAGGAAATGAGGGTTGAAAGAATGTGACAAAGAATGAAAAATATTTCAGATGTATGAATATGGATCACGCTGAGTCGTCATTCTGGGTGTTTTCTGTAAAACATTTCATAAGAGCAAAGATCATATTTTGTAGCTTCACAGTTAGTTGTTTAACTGTGGTTTGGATTTTACACCAAGGATACAGTTTGATATCACTGGAATGTAACCTGTAAGGCAAAACTTGGATCCCTTTGTCAGCACAGTGTCTTTTTAATGGCCTATAAACAGGACTTACTGTAAAATAGTTAGAAAATTAACCAAAAAGCTGTCAGGGTGAGATAGATGATTAACTTTAAATACATTACATCTAGTCTAGGAGATTTCAATGATTCACTCAGATTTCCTGCTGTCTCTAGTTTTAGTTATTTTGTTTGAACCTGCAGAGCCCGCAGGAATCTTTGAGACGAGAGCTTTGAATGGAACAATAAATCAAGATCAGAGCAACCTGAACAGTACAACTTGTTTCTGGAAAAAAATTAAAGAGCTGAGTTTAACTCACAAAAACCATTGATGTGCTGCAGGGAGTTGTATCCAAACCAATATTTTAGGTCTGAACAAACGCAGGCAGGTTTTGTTTTAATGATACATTGGCAGCAGTTTTTCTTTGATGCTTCAGTAGTTTTTCCTTTATCTGAGAAGGACCTGATTTTCCACAATGGATATAGTTACTTTGTATGAAAAGTTCTGGGACTCTGGGTCACACACTGAGCTGTGCTAAGTAAACTGACACAGTGTGGTGTTTTCTCCCTCCCTCACATTATTAGCAGGCTCTCTGTTGCTCCCTCAGGAAGTCTGAGAAAACAGGAATCCACTCCACTGCAGGCAGGTAGGACAGTGCAGAGGCTGCCTTTTCCTCTGAGCATTACAGATCAGATCAGGTGGATTCTGGATTAACAAATAAACACAAACGTTATCCTGCGGTCCTCTCTGAGTCACCGATCCCTCGAGGTTTGGAAAATGTTCTACAAGATTGTCCTCTTCCTCTGCTTGCCATCTGTTTTGGCTGAACAGCTCTGTAAACCAAGTAAGTGATTAGTTAATGCTAACTCTTGGTTAACTAATCTATATTTAAATCTACTCATAACTAAAATAAGACAAGCATACTTTATGAAATAAACCACTTTATCACCCTGTTTTTCCCTCCAGTCAGCAGGGAATTCAGCTTCTAATCTCTCTTTACTGGAACAATGTTAGATTAGCGACATAACTCAGATGTTTTTCCTCATAGTCAACATTTACATTACATATATACAATGATAGCAAACCCTGCATTAGTTCATAGTGGCATTGTGGGACAAATTAAGACTGAGCAGGTTTGTGAAATTATGGTGAATAATGGTAAGTGTGATTCACTGAGGCTGAGAAGTTAATACCAAACAACAGCAACACGTTAAAACATCCAATAAAAAATATTTTTCCTTTTATTTTTTTATTCTAGATGCTCCAGATGGCCTAAAAGTGCGACTCAGCATCAAAACTGCTCTGGACAGTGAAGCTGTACGTACATATCTTCATTTTACCATCATCAGAAACTCCTACTTTACTGATTCCATCAAAAATATATAAATTCAGTCATAAACAAAGTGATTCCATGAAGTTTAGTTCTTCTATCTTACATCCTGATATAAAAGAAGAATCTTGAGGCATTTGCATGATTTCATCAGGAGAATACCCACTATTCTGATGCAGGCAGCAGGATGGTGCATACCTTAACCACTCTCCTCACATCACTGTGTTCATGGACCCCTTTTTTTCCTATTTATTTTAGGTATTTCAGGTTGGTCAGTGATTGTTTTTATTTAACTCTAAAACTTTTGCCAAATAGTTGTGTCCACATAAACTCTAATTTCAGATTTAGAATAATTTGAAATAAAGTCAGGACAGGTAGTTCCATATGATTGCCCCCCTGCATCTAAACTTCCATTAATGTTGTCAAGTGAAAGCTTGTTTCTTATTTCACTTTAGGAGCTGATTGTACTGTTTATAGCTTTTCAGTCTCAGAATTAGTATTTTTTATTTTGCAGTGCATTATTGTTGTTTCTTTTATATATTTTTTTTTGCCAATATATTTTATCAATGCTTATTTTGGTGCAAAATTTCTAAAAATAAAAGCGTTGCAAATAATGTGGTCATTTTGGAAGACGGAATTTTTCATAGGGAGTCAGATTGGAGTAATGAGACCTTCAGGAACCTCTAAGAATCAATATCTGGTAGCAAGAGCAGCACAAAGTCTCCACTGATGGGTGTTTAATAGTTTGCCAATATCAGCCTCAGATATTTGCAGGTTTGTCAAAACAAGTTCACTGAACCAAAGTGGCTATTGTTAAAGGTGCTGTAGGAGATCTTGGAAAAAACGCAGATGTACTCTGTCACATCTGCTCAGTGTGAACCTTCTTTCATCTGTGAAGAGCACAGATGGCCAGTGGCATATTTGCCAAAATTTAGAGTTCCCTAGCAAATGCCAAGCGTCCTGCATGGTGTTGGGCTGTGTGTACAATCCCCATCTGTGGACATCCGGCCCTCATACCATTCTCATGGAGTCAGTTTCTAAGCATTTGTGCAGACACATGCAAATTTGTGGCCTGCTGGAGGTCCTTTTGGTGAGCTCTGGCAGTGTTCCTCACAGCACACCTTCTTGCCACAGCTCACATTGATGTACCATCCTGGACCAGCTGAGCCACGTATGTGTGTTGTAGAGTCCATCTCAAGCTACCACGAGTTTGAAAGGACCACCAACATTCAGAAGTGACCAAAACATCAGCCAGAAAGGCTGATAAGTACTGAGAAGTGGTCTGTGGTCCCCACCTGCAGAACCACTCCTTTATTGAGTGTGTCTTACTAATTGCCAATAATTTCCACTGTTGTCTATTCCATTTGCACAACAACATGTCAAATTGATTCTCAATACATGTTGCTTCCAAAATGGATGGTTTGATTTCACAGAAGTTTGATTTGATTGAAGTCAAATTGTGTTGTTTACATGTTCCCATAATTTTTTGAGCAGTATACTTTTAAACCCCAGTGTATTGATAGAAGTGGCAATCTTAAAGAATGTTTTTAAGAAGACATTGTTGTTTCTGTTGGAGTATTTCCCTCTTGTTGAATCAGAGGAAAACAGTCTTTGTTTTTCACGGTCTGCATAGATGGTCATTTCATGTTTTAGCCATACACAGAGAGGGTTGTTTGGGCTGAGAATGCTTACCTAATAAAAACTGTAGTGAGGTCAGTGAATCAAAAATCTTTTAGCTAATCACAGCAGGTGCATTCATCTGGAAAGGAACCATCTGTCCAGTTATTTGCATAGAGTTCAAAATCCAGCATCAGAGCTAGGATCCGATTACATAAGTGAGAAAAATCACTCGGTGAAGGCAGCCCAAGAGTTGGAGGAATACTGAATATGTTTCTAATAAATTATACCTTATGCTTGTTTTGAGTTTCTCACTCTTTGGAGTAATTTGTAAAAGTAAGCAAGGAAAACAACAAGTAAATGTAATGTGTGCATGGCGTGGTTAATTTGCACACTTGTGTACGCATCATTAAAGCTGAGCAATATGAAGCTATAAACACAACATGAACATAATAACGTTATAGGAACATGTGTTAGGACTAATGGGAGCACTGAAGCAGAAGAAAGTGAGAACGAGAATGTCACAGGAAATACTGAGCTGTTAAAAAACTGCAATCTTCTGTAGTGAAAGTACACTTCTCAGTAAAAGATAGATATCTTCTTTAAAGACCCCAGTGTTCCGAGTTTTATTGGGAGAGCAAATGATGTAGAACAGCTTCACCTGTTTTTGCTGGTATAAAAGTCAACATAAGGATATTTTTTAAAGGACTTCCTAAATCTCTAGGTTTCCTAGCTCAGAAAAAAAAATGTCTTTGTGCCTTTCTTGAATTACAGTTCATTTGAATATCAAGTTATTCTTTTGACTAACTTTAATAAAAAAAAATGCAAAAGTCATTTAAAATAATCATTCATGCTGTTACCCATAAACCTTTGTGTCTGTAATAAAAAGACGTTTATTTTTTTTTGTTTTTTTTTTTATATTACAGTATGAGTGGAATAGAAATGAAAAGTTCCTTTTCCAAGCAACCATTGCTTTCGCCATGAGTCAATACACGGGACAAGAATTCAAGTAAGATTGCTTTTGGGTTTTATTTAATCTTCATAATCTGTGAGTCATGGTTTGTAAGGGTGACATTTTGTTTGTTTTGAACTTTTATCTAGAGTGTCAAACATCCTAGTGTGTGATGAGACTCCCAGGGTGTCCTTTTGGTTTGTGGTCACGTCACCTGCCAATCTATCACAGCTTATGAGTAAAGGAGTTGTGGAGCTGGCTGTCAGGTATTTACACAACCACACGAGTCAAGGCAGTAGCTGTTTTAACCTTTATATATTTACAGAAGACATAGGAAAACACCTGACCTTTATTTAGTTATCACATGATTAACCAGATCTGTCACGAATGTGACAGATTTCCAGCACAGGTTTGGTGGCATTGAGGTTCCAGTACCAGTCCTGGTGGTCTCACACGCCTTTTTAGTTCTTTTCACAAATTCTCCATCTGGCCATCTGTCCAGTGTTCGACATCCCGTTCTCCTGCGGATCACACAACACCCTCTAGCAGGTTCATGGTCTCACTCAGTGATGGAAATGTTCCGAAACGCCTTTAATGCAGAAGAGCAACTTCTCTACTCTTTCGACAACAGAACAAGTAATACAATAAGCTAGTTGTAATACCCGCTGCTTGCTTGCAAGGTGTTGTTCTCTTAGGTATAATTCCACATCTTATGACCATAGATTCATTTTGTTTGAAATGCAGACAAATTAAGCTTAGGTATTTTCAAGGCTAACTGTTTTTTTTTTCACTAGAAAGGACTGAATCACTACTGGCATAAGCACAGATAGGGACCCAATACTGTAGCTATATTTCAGCTTTACTCTGTCAAAAGAAAAAAAAGCTTCGGGAAACAGGATAATATGCCAGACATGGTGTTTGGCCTAAGAGTTTTAGTTACAGTTTTTGACGTTTAACTGGAGATGTAGGTAAGGCGACTATTATCCAGCTTAAGAGGGCAGATCATGGCCAAATCAACTGATTGACTGGCATTGGGCAGGCAGATGATGGCTGAACAGGCTCATGACTAGCTTTAAGCAGGTGGAAGATGGATGAACAGGCTGGTAGTAGGCTTTAGAAGCCCGAAGGTGGCTGAACAGGCTGATGACTGGCTTTAGGCAGGTGGAAGATGGATGAACAGGCTGGTAGTAGGCTTTAGAAGCATGAAGGTGGCTGAACAAGTTGATGACTGGCTTGGAGCCATTGGCTGACAGCTGAACAGGCTGGTAGCCAGCTTAATAAGGTTAAGGACGGCTGAACAGGCTGATGACTGGCTTTGAAAAGTTGGCTGATGACTTAACTTGACTTGACTTAGACTTTATTTTACAACTTTATTGTAATTTTGTATACACAGAGTGTATACAAACGAAATTTAGTTAAAACAGCTTTCAGACAGTGAATGAGCAGCAGCTTAGCAGTGAAATTGAAAATTTTTATTGATAAAGTGCAGCAGTGATCAAATGTTAACAGTGTGGGAGAGACATGGTGCCAAAAGGTATTGATGTGGAAGTTCAGAGCAGTGCAAAAACAGATATATATGGTGCAAAGAATGCAGTAGAACATTTGAGTTTAGTTCTATTAGGTATTATGTTATCATAGTGATGCAGAGTCTTGATTTGTGACTTGATTTAGAGTTTGTTCAACCATTCAGCAGTCTGATGGCTGTTACAAAATCTGCTGGACCTGAATTGAATTCTGCGAGGCCATCTTTACAGTGGTCAGCAGGGAGAACCGTCCACGGTGGGGATGTGAGGAGTTGCTGATAACTCGACCAGCTGTCTCATACAGTGAGACAGCTGGTCAGAACGCTCTCTATGGTGCTTCTGTAGAAGGTTGTGCAGATGGGTGAGGGCAGGTGCGCTCTCCTCATCCTCCCTGGGAAGTACAAGTGCTTCTGTGCCCTTTTGAACAGTGAGGTGGTGTTTACAGTTCAGGTGAGGTTGTCTGTGATGTACACCCACTGGAATTTGGTGCTGCTGACCACCTCTACAGCTGAGCTGTTGATGAGCAGAGGAGTGTGGTTAGGCTTGTTCTTCCTGAAGTCAACAATAATCTCCTTCGTCTTCTCCACATTCAGGCTGAACAGGCTGGGGGCTAACTTAAGAAGGGAAATGATGGCTGAAAAGGCTGATGACTAGCTTTGAGCAGTTGGCTGACGGTTGAACAGGCTGAGTAGCTGATGAGGCTGGAGGCAGGTAGAATAGACTGGTCACAAGCATAGGCAGTCCAGGATGTGAGTCAGTCTGAAGCCAATGAGTATCCAGTAAAGATAGGGGGAGCACAGGAATGCAGGCGGTGCAAACAACCACTGGAACTGACCTCAAGCATGTAAGTAGACTTTCTGGCAAAAACAGTTGGACTAAAGAAAATAAAAATGTTGAACCAATGATGTTTCAGTTGAACTGTTTAACTAGAACAGTTGAAGGCAATCCTAAAGAAATGTGTTTTTAGTCTTGATTTAAAGGAACTCAGGCTTTCTGCAATTCTGCAGTTTTCTGGAAGTTTGTTCCAGAAAATGGAGCATAGGAACTAAATGCTGCTTCTCCATGTTTAGTTCTGGTTCTAGGTATGCAGAGCAGGCTGGAGCTAGATAGGTATAATAACATGGGGAAGAATGAAGATGATTAAGAGGGAGACAGGTGATCTGTTACATTTGGAGTGGAGCATAGGAGTGGCAATTAGCCAACCAGCCATAAAACATCTAAACAGGCAGGCTGCGTGACACCATCCTTCCATTGCTAAGAAACTAAACAAAAAACAAACTACAACAACTAGAACTGACACTCATTCTGGCTACGTTAACCCTACCTGTCATTTGCTTGAGTCCAACTTGAAGGTTATGGCTCAAGGATGCCCTTAAAACATAATATTAATATATTAATTATTAATTAAATTTGAGAATGTGGGTACATCTTTAGTCCTGGGACTCACAATTGGACAGTCCTTAAAAGCAACCTAATTACCCATAGTCATGTTATCCTTCACAGGATACTTCTAAGGACACGGCCCTATGCCACATTATCCATAAAAAAGGACCTAAACCAGCCAAACTACCGGTCCTCTTCTACTCAGTAGTAGGAGAGTACCAGTATAGTAGTCCTTTTTTCAGATGTAAAGGCTGCTAATGTCTAAAATATGCTTTGTTTTTCTTTGACTGAATGGATATCATTGTATCAGAATGGGGAAAAAAAATTAAATTATTACTTTCTTTGGAGAAAAAATCTTTGAAATCTGAATGTTTTTATTTGTCCAAAAGAAAGTTCAGGAACAGAATCAACAATGCTTTCCTGCTCTCTGATGAAACGCTGGAGTTTGTTGGAGTCCTGCCCACCCTGGCCTCCCCTGTGGAACCTGCCACCCCTCCATGGCTAATTGTGTTTGGGGTGATGATGAGTCTGGTCAGTGCCGGCATCGTCTTTGTGCTCGTGTCAACAGTGGTCCAAAACAAACGGTGAGCTGCTGTGGATACATAATCCTGAGCTTCATTAATATGTGTGATAGCTAAGACTGACTTTTTTGGATTTTATTCTAGTAAGAGGAAGCAGAAGGGAGATGACCAGGACGACGATGAAGAGACAAGGGTTAAAACTGTGGAAAATGGATGTGATGGTGTTTATAACACTTCGTTCTCAGAAGATGAACCAAACACACGGATGTAAAAAATCTGCAATATGAGTCTTCCATGTAAGCAAATGAGATGGGAAGTATAATATTAGACTGCTCTTTTTTAAAGCTGTATGCCTTTATTAATGTGCAAAATCTTAACTTTACTGTAGAACTGATTTTCATGCTTTTATTTTTATTGTTTGAAATTATCTGCAAAGTACATACTTTTATTACTAGCAGACCAAGCACAAAAACCTCTCTTTCATTTTTATGTCTGTTCTTCATCAAAGCATTTCTTTCTAATTTGTGATGAGATTTAAAAATAAATTAAATGTTTCTGTTTGATATGCAGTTGCCTTATAAAAATGTACCCTGAATATGAAAACAATCAGCTTCATTAATCATTAAAATGGGGATCTTATGAGCTTAAGGAGATGCTTGTTTTCAATTTACCGAGTAAATATTTCTGTTAATCTGGTTTCAGATGTTAGGTTCTGCATGTTTTTTTAATAACTTTTCTGGGAACATTGCCTTGCAATGATATCATATTTCTTAAACTTTGAGACATTTTGTCACGATATAACCACCGACTTGAATTTATGGTATTTCCATTTTATGTGGCAGAGAAACAGAAAGCAGTGCATAATGATGCATGCTCTATGTTTTCTTTAACAAGTCAGCACCTTGTAAATCAATCTTTTACTGCAGTCACTGCCACATAACTTCTCAGATATGTCTCTATAAACTTTCAGCATCTGTAGACTGTCATTTCAGGCCTTTTTTGTCTGCAGTAACTCCTCAGTCAGAGTATATGTGAACATTTTTCCCAAGACTCTCAACTGGACTTGGGTGTAGACTGGATCATGGTACCATATACATGTCTTCTGATCCTGATCACTCTATTGTAGCTCTGGCTGGATCTCAAGGGTTGCTATGCTGAGAGGTGAGCTTCCTCCCCAGCCTTCCCCATAGTCACATTATATGCTGACTCAAAAAGACCAAAAAACATTTGTAATAATAAAATAATGTTTTACTCACCAAGTGTCCATTCTGTAGTATTTTCATTTATTTCCTTTTAGTCTAAATAGAATTCCAGTGGTACTGCTGGCAGTACCACAGAACTACCAGAAAGTTGGTAGTTCTCTGTAAATGCCGAACGTATACGCTTCCAACCAACGTAATCTCGCTATCAAACTAAACAAATAAAATTACTTAGTCTGTTTGTATCACTATGCTAAGCAGCTATAATGCTGCGTTCACACCGGGGGCAGCTGGCGCGACAGAAGCAGCGAGTTTACATGCAAAGTCAATGGTTGACGCGCGTCAAGGCGCAGCAAAAGATCCCGCGGCGCGTTTCGAGCAGCAAGCGCAGCGCGTCTGAGCAGCTGAAGCAGCGCGACGGGCGCGTTTTGGCATCTGACGCGCGTGACGCGCCGCAAACGCGCTGCTGCTCGAGATGGAAAAATTGAATTTTTGCTGCTCGACGCGCCGCGTCAACCAATCAGAGAGAAGCTCCGCCAAATGACGTGGCTGTGTTTTCAGACTGGAGGGAAAGACGGAGAAAACCCGGGAATTTGCGAAAATGGAAGAAAAATTGATCATTGCTGTTTGCTCTCATCCAGTAATTTATGATCAATCAAGTTGTGAATATAGAGACAAGAGCAGAAAGGACAAGGCATAGAGAAGCTGATCTGGGAGCTGGCTGGGAGAGAGACACAGCGCTGATGACACAGGCCGCTCTGATTACTCCTCTTAAACAGTTTATTAACGCATAATTAACTTAAAATATATACATCTGCCGGCAGAATATGTTGGCTTTTATTATTCTGGTGCCTGCAGATCGGATTATTTAGATGAAAAACACCTACCAGCCGCCGCGGTAAACTGCGAGGAGGCGACCCGTCCAGAGGCTACTGTTGAAGGGATTCTTTCTGTCGGCGCACCGCCGGTATGTGGGGGTCTGAGCGGCTCCAACAGAAATAACATTGGGAGACAGGATTGTAATCTGGATGAACTGACTGCACTGATTAAGTTTTCAGGTGTATTTTCTAACTTAAAAACATATTAAAACTACTTTATTCCCACTGATCACAGCAAATATAGCTGCAAGGCAGAGAAAGGATAGTGAAGCTCCGCCCAACGCGCGTCAGAGCCACCTTTGCACCGTGCAGCCAGAGCAGCAAAGCTGCTTCAGCCGCGCGTCAGAACTAACTGGTACAAGCAGCAAAAATGAAGCAGCAGACGCGATTTTGCTGCTTTTGCAGCGTCCGGTCTGAACGTAGCATAACATTACCTATGTAAAAAAACATTGTCATGACTCTACAAGACAGCTGATATACACGTTACAGAAGCCATTTTGCACCATGATGGCCTCCGTATTGTTGGAGATGAGAAAAAGTGGGGGGAGCAGTTTATGCTGCCTGCATTCTACAGTCTGGCTATTAGATATTGCTATAAATTATACACTGTAGCTTTAATAGAGCCCGACTGTCCTGTGATGCCTCTCAGTAAGGCGGCAGGTCAGCATGTTGAAGGACAAACCTCTAGTAATCCAATAAACGTATCTCTAAAAAACTGAAACTAAAAAAACAACTAAACAACTTTAAGTTCTCATGAGTTCTCCGAACAAATAATAATGTAAAAGAAAATTTGGTTTCCCAGCAAATGTAAACAGGGACAAAGCATCAAGGTAATAGGCCATTAATCCATCTATATTTTTTATAATATCATTAAACTTACACTTAGACACCAAGAATAGCATTGCTATCACTAGCAGTATTGATTATTACATTTACTCACACATCCATGACTAAGCAGCCAAATCTACATATATCTGCAGCTCATGCAGTTTCAATGAACACCACCATTCATGTTGTATTCCCAATGCTTTTTGAATCTAATGTTTTTTTGTGTATTTTAACAACTCTGCTTGGAAGTGCTAACTGGTTCAGCCTCATTATTTCCTTATTTACCCACCGTGCACATGCCAGTATCATAACCCTGTTGTTATCGTAAATAAACACAAAGGACTTAATTTACCATCAAATTAAGCAAAAACAAAACATAAAATACAGAAAATACAGCAGTAGGACACAATAATCTTTCATAGAAACTTTGAGACACTGATATACACTTTAAAAGTGTCTTATTACGAGACTATGCTCCTTTAAGAAATAAAAACCCTCCAGCAGGGCTTCTTTCAGTATCAATATGATCCTGTATGTAGCTCTATGTATATTCCCATCAACAAGCATCCTCATCCTTTTGGCCTCCAAAAAGTTTCTCACATCTGAGCGGAGCACCTGTTTTCTTAATCCACTTTCTGCAGGGTGGTGGCCTTTTAGTGGGGGGACCTCTGTCACATATTGAACATGGCCTAAAGCAACTGGCCCATAGGACTTGTCTTTCTGTCATTATTGGCTTTCTTTTTGACCCTGACATCTGAGGCCGTCATAGAGTAGCTTATTTTATCCATGATTAAATTTAACACGGGTGAACTCTTGTAAGCTATTAGGTTACAAGAGTCCACCTGTGACATTTAGAGATATTGAAGCAATAGGGGCTATATATCACTACATGCCTCCCTTTTCAGAGTATTGTGGTTGTCATGTGATGAAATGTGAAAAAGATGATTGGTTATGACAAGGTCAGCCTAAGCCTCCATTGGGCACTAAACAAAATTTGATTTTCAGTCGTTTTATTTGTTGCCAGTGGCATTGATTGCTATAATCAACAGTCAGTGATCAGATCATTCACATGTGTTATAAATTGCAGATCAGGTTACAGTAAAATAAACTAGTATGTAGTTCATTTACAGGAAGAGTGGCATGTGGTTTTTGCTTTTTGCTTCCTGCTTCCAGGGTGGAAATACGTCACCAATCAGACAACAACAGTTTGTCATTAAAGCTTGAATATTTATCTTACACATCTGAAAAATATAATAGTATATTTTGAAATATTTTAATTTTATAATTTTATTTATTTATTTATTTTGCCTTATTGGCCAGCTGCCACTGCATAGAAACGTGTCTTTATTACTGGTTCAGCATTATTTCCTACTCTATTTGTGTGTTCACTTTTTGAAATGACAGACACTTAAGTAAACAAGCAGAAAATATAAGTAAAACTTCAGTTCAATTCAGTTTATTTATATAGTGCCAATTCACAACACGTCATCTCAAGGCACTTTACAGTTTACTAGATCATACAGTCAGATCTATTCAAAGTTTCTATCAAAGGAAAACCAGATGATTGCACTCATTTACTTGAAGGCAATCCCTCACACTAAGCATGCTTGTAGCGACAGTGGAGAGGAAAAACTCCCTTTTAACAAGAACAAACCTCAAGCAGAACCAGGCTCAGTGTGAGTGGCCATCTGCCGAGGCCGACTGGGGTTCAAGGAGACAGAAGCAGAGATACAAAAGGCAACTATAAAAGGCAACTACCTGTATAAAAGGCGAAACACACAGCCAGGCAGACGAGCTCCGAGCCAGCTCCCATGTCAAAGGATGAAGAGAGCATATCCAATTAGTCACAGTCAGAGAAACAGGACTACACTGAAAAACAGGCTGAGCTCAAACACCTATAAACAAAGGTGTTGATGGCAGCAGCACAGCTGATATTTCTCTCCAGGATGGAGTCACAGCCAAACACGAACAGACAAGGCAAAGCTACTATGAGAAAAAGCAGAGACAGGATAACTTTAGAGATTGAACTAACAGATTCTGCAGAGTGGGACATATTCAAAAAGTCATTTCACTGTATCAATACAGTTTATATACAGTATAGACTGTATATATCCCATGTACCTTTTTCTTCCTTTGGCACCTTCTTCTTGTTTGACTATTTGAGCTGATGTAACGAGTACATTTCTCCACTGTGAAATCAATTAAGTCTTTCAATCAATCAGTAAAGCAGATATCTGCGAGTCACTTCATCATCTCAGTTTTAGAATATTAACTGTTGCAATGAGGATGGGGGAAACGTGATTAGTTGCAACGTTTTTATTGCCCGGTTAGTATTATTTTCAAACTTTTTGAAATAGCAGACATCTACTGTAGATGAGCTGAAAATTAAACTTTCCAGCAGATTTTATATGCATCAGGTGCGCTTCCTCATCTTTAGCGTCAAAATGCAAGCTGGCTTTTCTTTTCAGTACTCTAAATAGCCAGAAAAGAACACAAAGAAATGAAATATGTGTTTTTCTGCTCTAACAGCAAGATACAGCAGAATGTATTGATGCAACAGGTCCATGGATCATTTTCCCATCTCCCACATCAGAATCAAATCTCTAAATCATCAGCCTCTAAAGAGGCTTGGAGAGGAAAAAGGATTAATTACATTTTGCATTATCTCACCACAATTATTTCCTACCCTATTTATGTGACCTATTTTTGAAATAACAGACATATACTGTAAGCTATTGTAAATAGAGAAACATACTCACAGAGCTGCTCTCTATGTATAATTTCAACCTGGAGAGACTCACACAAAGAAAAGTTGTAATTAGAAAATATTAAATTTATTATAAAGGTAACGCAATCATATTCTTCAAAATTTCTCTATACAAGGAAAACCAGCTGATTGTGAGGAGTCGTTGACTCTCTGCAATCTCTTACATTGAGCATGCATGTTGCGACAGTGGAGAGGAAAACTCCCTTTTTAAAGAGAAAGGGAAAGTTTTTAAAAATCACTTTTTTGTCATATTGGCTAAAACTGTCCCTATGCCCAGACAGCAGTACATGTGATATGTAACCTGTGAAAAAAACTGCTTCAATTGGTCCCGCATACTGCCTGTATTTCAATCTGGAAAGAATATTTCGGGACGAGACAAAACAACCAATCACAGCCAGAGGAGCGTCTGATGGAGTGTCAATCACAGCTCACACACGCTGAATCCCCCCCCAACACCGCTTAACCTGCCGCTGCCGCCCGGCTGCCGCAGTCAGGAGGACGCGCATGGAAGTCATGGCGGAGCGACAGCCTCCAGCAAAACTGCCCTTACTGCCCCTGCCGACAACTGCTTACACGGCAAACT